CTGCAGTACATCATTCTAAAATCATGACCATGTAAAATAATTGTTTGTAAATGTCTGCATTTTCCTTTTTTGTATGCCCTGCCATTGGAACTTGTGCTGTTCGCAACATGATTTTAAGATATCTAAGCAGTACCACTGTTTGATGAATAACCATCCATTCTTACTCTACAGGTCTGTGAGAATGTCTCCACTTCCTTATCACCACTGAGGTTTTAATACCACTCAAACTCATTTAGCCTTAGCTTCAGTGACATTGGCTTCCTGAGCACTGATTAATGAAGACATGCCAAACACATACTTTGAATTATCGTTATTAGGAGTCACAGAGATATACAGCACGGAAACAGACCCTTCGTCCAACTCATCCATACCGACCAGACATCCCAAATAAATCTACTCCCATTTGCCAGCATTTGGCCCATAATCCCTCTAAACCCTTCCTATTCATATACCCATTCAGATGCCTTCTAAATGTTCTGATTGTACCAGCATCCACCTCTTTGACTGGCAGTTCATTCCATACACGCACCACCTTCTGCTGAAAAAGTTGCCCCTTAGATGCCTTTTAAATCTTAGCCCTCTCACTTTAAATCTTAGCCCTCTCACTTTAGGACTTCCCCACGCCTGGGAATAGACCTTGCCTATTTACCCTATCCAAACACCTCATGATTTTATAAACCTCTATAAAGTCACCCCTCAGCCTCCGATGCTCCAGGGAAGATTGCCCCAGTCTATTCAGCCTATCACAAAAGCTCAAACTCTCCAACCCTGGCAAGATCCTTGCAGTTCCACACATAGATCATCAAGGTTGTCTTTTAAGGGGACCTATTCTCTCCCTAGTTTCCCTTTTGTCTTTAATGTATTTGTAGAGTCAGTTTCGATTCTCCTCAACCCTATTTGTCCTCCTGATTTCCCTCTTAAGTATACCCCTACTGCCTTTATTCTCTTCTTGGGATTCACTCGATCTCTGCTGTCTATTCCTGACATGTGCTTCCTTCTTCTTCTTAACCAAAACCTCAATTTCTCTAGTCATCCAACATTTCCTGCACTTGCCAGCCTTGACCTTCATTCTGACAGGAATGTACTGTCTCTGGACTCTTGTTATCTCATTTTTGAAGGCTTCCTATTTTCCCGCCATCCCTTCACCTGCAAACATCCATCCCGCCCCGCAATCAACTTGAGGAAGTTCTTGCCTAATACCATCAAAGTTGGCCTTCCTCCAATTTAAAACAAAGAACAGTACAGCACAGTACAGGCCCTTCGGCCCACGATGTTGAGCCAACCTATTATCCTATTGTAAGATCAAACTACCCTGTATGCCCTGCATTTTACTATCATCCATTTAGAACTTCAACTTTTAGATCCAGTCTATCCTTTTCCATTACTATTTTAAAACTAACAGAATTATAGTCACTGGCCCCAAAGTGTTCCCCCATTGACATCTGAGTCACCTGTCTTGCCTTATTTCCCAATAGTAATGTCAAGTTTCGCACCTTCTCCAGTAAATACATCCACATACTGCGTAAGGAAATGTTCTTGTACACACTTAAATTCCTCTCCATGCAAGCCTTTAACACTATGGCAGTTCCAGTCTGTGTATGGAAAGTTAAAATCCCCTACCATAACGACCCTATTATTTTTGCAGATAGCTGAGACCTCTTTACAAATTTGTTTCTCAGTTTCCCCCTGACTGTTGGGGGGTCTATAGTACAATCCTAATAAGGTGATCATCCATTTCTTATTTCTCAGTTTCACCCAAATAACTTCCCTGGACATATTCCCAGGAATATCTTCCCAAGTACAGCCGTAATGTTATCCCAATCAAAAACGCCACTCCCCCTCCTCTCGCCCGACTTTCCATCCTTCCGATAGCATCTATACCCTGGAACATTAACCTGCCAGTCCTTTCCATTCCCTGAGCCACGTCTCTATAATTGCGATGATATCCCAGTCCAATGTTCCCAACCATATTCTGAGTTCATCTGCCTTACCCATTAGGCCTCCTGTATTGAAATAATTGCACTTTAATTTATCAGTCCGACCTTGTTCTCTGCTTTGTTGCTGCCTGCCCTGACTATTTGACTTAGTCCTTCTCCCATTGTATCAGTCTTGGACTGATTTCTTTCCTCACTACCTCCCTGGGTTCCACCCACCCACTCCCCTTACTAGATTAAATCCTCCTGAGCAGCTCTAGCCAATCTCCCTACCAGTATAGGAGTCCCCTTCCAATTCAGGTGCAATCTGTCCACTTATAAAGGTCTCTTCTGGTAGAGAAGTGATTCCAATGATCCAAAAATGTGAATCCTTCTTGCCTGTACCAGCTCTTCAGCCATGCACTCATCTGGTCTATTCTTATATTCTAACCTCACTAGTTTGTGGCACTGGGAGTAATCCAGATGTTACTACCCTCGAGGACTTATTTTTTAAATTCCTGCCCAACTTCCTATATTGTCTCCTCAGAATCTTGTCTTTTTCTTTTCCTGTGTCATTAGTTCCAATGTGTACAACAACCTCCTGCTTATCCCTCTCCCCTTTGAGAATATTCTGCACTCTCTGAGATATCCTTGATCCTGGATCCAGGGAGGCAACACACCATTCTCATGTCTCGCTGTTGGCCACACACACACACATCTGTCTGTGCCTCTGATTAGAGTCCCTTATCACAAACGATTGCTTGGAACCTGGCGTAGCCCTCGTTATTATAAGAGCCAGTACCAGAAACCTGGCTGTCAGTGCCACTCTACCCTGAGAGTCCATCACCCCCTACATTTTATAAAACAGCATACTTGTTTGAGACAGGGATAGCCACAGGAGACTCCTGCACTACCTGCTTCCCTCCCCTACCTTTTCTGGAGCTCAATCATCTACCTGACTGTACCTTTGGTTTATCTCCCTCCCTGCAACTACCATCCATCACTCCCCCAGCTCCTGTAAATTCTTCATTGCCTTTAACTGCTGCTCCAACCGATCCATATGATCTGAAAGGATTCACAACCAAATATACTTTCTGCAGACATAATCATCAGTAACATGGAAACTCTCCCTAATACCCCACATCTAACAAGAAGAGTTCATCACTCTGCTAAAGGCCATCTTTGCACCTTAACAGTCTACAGACCATGAAAACAGCGTAGTCTTACTGCTTTAAAAACACTGCTCCAGGCTAGCTTAGTGCCTATGTTTTTAAATTTTAATCAAGAGACAGATCCCAGTAAAAACATATAATCAAAAAATAACCCACTCAAATCACTTCAGAGATAGTAGGAACTGCAGATGCTGGAGAATCTGAGATAACAAGGTGTAGAGCTGGATGAACACAGCAGGCCAAGCAGCATCAGAGGAGCAGGAAGGCTGACGTTTCAAGCCTAGACCCTTCTTCAGAAATGGGGGAGGGCAAGGGGGTTCTGAAATAAATAGGGAGAGAGGGGGAGGCGGATAGAGGAGAAGATAGGTGGAGAGGAGACAGACAGGTCAAAGAGGCAATGATAGAGCCAGTAAAGGTGAGTGTAGGTGGGGAGTTAGGGAGGGGATAGGTCAGTCTAGGGAGGACGGACAGGTCAAGGGGGCAGGATGAGGCTAGTAGGTAGGAGATGGGGGTGGGGCTTGAGGTGGGAGGAAGGACAGGTTAGGGAGACGGGGACAAGCTGGGCTGTTTTTGGGATGCGGTAGGGGAAGGGGAGATTTTCAAGCTTGTGAAGTCCACATTGATACCATTGTGCTGTTCCTGCAACCTTCGGGTGGCATTGTTGTGGCACTGCAGGAAGACCAGGATGGACATGTCGTCTGAGGAATGGGAGGGGGAGTTGAAATGGTTTGCGACTGGGAGGTGCAGTTATTTAGTGCAAACCGAGCGTAGGTGTTCCGCAAAGTGGTCCGCAAGCCTCCGCTTGGTTTCCCCGATGCGGAGGCGGCCACAATGGGAACAGCGGATGCAGTATACCATGTTAGCAGATGTGCAGGTGAACATCTGCTTGATGTGGAAAGTCTTCTTGGGGCCTGGGATGGGGGTGAGTGGGGAGGTGTAGGGGCAGGTGTAGCATTTCCTGCGGTTGCAGGGAAAAGTGCCGAGTGTGGTGGAGCTGGACAAGGGAGTCACGGAGAGAGTGGTCCGTCCGGAAAGCAGATAAAGGGTGGGGAGGGAAAAATGTCTTTGGTGGTGGGGTCGGATTGCAGATGGCAGAAGTGTCTATCCAACGCATCATCCTCCGACACTTCCTCAGACCTCAGTCACTTGCCTGGCCTTATTTCCCAACAGGTCAAGTTTTGCTCCTTCTCCAGTAGGTACACACATACTGAGTAAGAAAATCTACTTAACATACAAATTCCTCTCTATCCAAGCCCTCAACACTATCCAAACACAGGATGGGAATGTCAAAGTTAAAATCCCTTACCATTGTCACCTATCGGAATAAAAGGGCTATAGGTTTTCGTACAAGTTTGCTTCTCTATTTTCCACTAACTATGGGCTGAGGGTCTGCAGTCCAATCCCA